GGCGTGGATTGCGTTGTGGGCAGATCTGAGACGAGAGAGCTCCTCTGAGCAACATGGGAGCGGGGATCGTATGTGGGGAGGTCCTGGTCAGCGTCAACGGAGGGACTGAAATTCGAATACACCGATGAGGATGATGAAGTGAGACTCCGCCGCACGACGCCCCATCTCTTCATCTTTTCAGCGACGGCAATCCCTGCTATCCCACAATTCTCTAGTTAGTCCAACTTAGCTGGCAGCCCTGTTTTCAATGAATTGTCAAACTTCAATCTTTTTACAAAAAAAAAAAAAAAAAGTTAAAACCGCATATCAATAGTTAACAACAAAACAAAGTACATAACAAGATACAAAAACAAATAAAAAAAACTAAACTTTCATCATCCTCCCATCCTGAGAGATTAAAAATAAATGATGATCAAAGAGACAACAATTCATTATCCAAAGTGTGTGATAATCTAGTGAGAAAATCTGCATCCCTACTTTTGTACCTCTCATGTGATTATAAAATAATTTTGTCCTTTTTACAGAGAAAAGCTCTACCTTCTTCAACTAAATCCTAAAAAAGATAGTCACAATCACACCCCATTTAAAATTAAATTTATGACCTCAAGCAATCAGAGAGAACTTCAATATGATAGATTTCTCGTTACCCAACACTAGTGTGTAAACCTTATATGATACCAATAAGCTTCACTATAGTTGAAGGAACTGAAGCAAGTTGGCAGTAAATCCACAAATCCAATTATTATTCTCATGTCGCAAATCCACACCATATCCACGCTGCTTAATCTCTCTAACAAAGCAATCAATCTAAATTCTCAAAATAGGAGTAAAACTAATAAGTGAATTGTAAAATTTTAAAAAAAAATAAATAGGATGGAAATTATAAATTGACGGTTGCATGCAGACCAAAATGCCGTATTTGGAGGTCCAAAATCATAAGTCATCCTAATGAAAGGGACTCAGTTTGGATAGTGTTCATCACTATAGTGAAATCTAAACCATATAAATTTTGACTGGATGGTCTAGATTTAAACTATTATTATATATTATAATAATTATTTATATGTATTCTGTATAGTTTTAAATTTAATACTATCTATTTAGAGGCACTCTATCTAGTCCAGATTTTAATATATATCAATTATAAAATTTTAACATTAAATTAGACCCTACAAATTAAATATGAACCATATTAAAATAACAAATTTATTAAAAATTATTCTATAATTTTTTATTTAAAAAATATAATATATAATAATAGTTTAAATTAAAATCATTCAGATTAAAATCTGAATGGTTTAAATCTTATTATTTTGATTAACACTCAAACCAAACTCTAACAAAAGCCACCTTTTCTGGCTTAGTGATTCTTGACCTTCAGCTTCAAAGAAGGCCTGCTCCCACGTGTTCCATGCGCCTATAACTGTGGTTAGCCGCTTACACACACACACACACATATATTATTTCTTTTTTTAAAAAAACATACAAGAGACAAGCTACGGCATTAACAAAATTCAACTGGTGAACAATGCTAGATTTATCAGCCCAGTAAAAGGCAGAGCAAACCAACGGTAAGCTCCATCAAAATATAGAAATCTTTTTGTGTGTTGAGCATCCTTGGTCAAGAAATCAATTGCTTTTAAATTCTCTCAATTAGAAGAAAAAACCTCCAACTCTCAATTAAAGCACAGCAAGTTTTATGCATCAATGATCTTTGATCACAAAGGATGTGCCAATCCTCCCCAATCCCAAGCAGGTGAAGTGCTTCCAAAGAATCTATATGACACTAAATTTTATTTAAGTGGAATTGTTTGCATAAATTTAGACTTTAAATAAGTGCAAAACATTCAACTGTAAAGAGGGGAAAAAAACCTTTTTTTGTTTGGAAATCCTGGAATCCACTTGCCCAATGAATCTCTAACAACCTCTCCACATGTGGCATAGTTCTATCGATTAATTGATCCATATACATCAAATCTCATATAACCTAGCATTACAAGTCTCCATTTATCTTCTATTTCTTCCATGTCTATTTCTTCCATGTCGTGAAATATCTTATTCTTGAGTTGTCTATTCTCAACTATTTCATTAATATGATACATCACACTGTGATATAAGTTGAGAGCTTCAAGTCTCATCCCCTCCACTACTCCCTTGCACTATTTGTCCATGGTAGCCAACAGACAAGACAAAAAGTCTTCACCCATATTTTGGTGTTATTATATCTCACACTAAGATTAGTTTGCACATTCGCTTTAATCTACATTTACAAGTAAACAGAGAAGAAAAATTGGATATGTAAAGGGTTAGAAACACAAGCCCACACATTTTTGTTTTTTTTACGATCTCTCAAAATTTGTATAATAGACTCCTCATTAAGACACCTGAACAGGCATGTTTCATAATCTTTCAATCCATGAATTTTTTATAAGTTACTTCTCAGTTTTAACGTGTTTTTATCTAAATAAAAAATAAAAAATTTATTGAATTTCTAGACAAATTAATACATTATCAAATTTATTTATATTAAATATATATATATATATAAATAACATATTTTTTCTCACAAATATTTAATGAAAAATTTGGAGAGATTGTAATAAAAAATTAATTATGTGACTTATAGATAGAATTAAAAATATTATTTTCCTGTTTTATAAATAGGGCTAAGGAGTGTACTTGTAATTAATAGCGAGCATCCTTATTTACAAGGAATTTGATGATAAGTACATGAATTTTGTAAATAAATATATGCTCGTCTCCCTAAATTAGACGATTTTTATCATTATAAAAATAATATAATTTATTATTCTATTTGAAAAAATATAAATTTAGCAGTGGTGCTAATCTGCTCGTTATGAAGTTCTTCATGGTGCGTCTGTGCTGTACGCTAGTGGAAGCAGCCTGGAAAATCAGATGGCAATGAGGCTTAACGCCCAATTAATTTTTCCTTATTGACCACCCGGCCTGAATTTTCTAAAGCCACCTTTATTCCTCCGCCACCTCATTCTCCGACATTCAAGCCAATCATGATTCATATAGTTAGGTTTTGTTGATCAATGTTAACAATTCTCAATGTCAGGATATTTATCAACATTAGGATATATTATGGCAAGTGCTATTAACGTTATAAAATATACTGCTTCCATTTCACGTTATAAGGCATTTAAAAAAAATTAATATTTTAAAATATAAAATACTTTTAATAAAAATAAGGTTATATTTTTTTTAATATTTTTTATTAATTGAGTATTAAATGAATATCATTTTTGACAGTTTCTATTTTTTCTTTAAAATAATAAGTTTGTAAAATATACTTAATGAGTTTTATTGATGTATAATTATTTTTAAAAATATTTTATAATTTAAAATGTAGGGAATACAATCATATTTTGCCTTTATCAATGTTCTCAACCACTCTTATGCGCTGCATAACAATGAGTGTATTCCGCAAACATGACTGATTAGCATACGACACTGTATAATTTTGGTCGGTCTTGAATCTTAATCCATCGTTGTCTCTTTCCTCCAAAACTTACCCCACCTTGTTTATATTAGAGTCATAATATTATCAATTCAATTAATCTTGTTTTTTTCTACTTTTCTTCTTTTGCTTTCAATAACAGATGAGTTTTCATTGGTAAGATAAAAATATCAAGTTAAAAATATCAGGTGACTGTTTTTCAGGAGTGTTGATTATAAACTTAGAGATCTAATTCATTAACATGCCGCGAATACTAGAATAAGTTTTATATGTAGAATTAGGAATTAAACAATAGTGATGATTATATGTGTTAAGATTAATACTGTTGTTGTTGTAGTGCAAAATGGACCAGGGTGCAAATCGAACAACCAAAATTAAATAACGAACTATTCGTAGATGGAAGCATGGCGCAGGACACGTGGCAAGCATTAGGTCCTGTTGACACGTCATCCCACTCGTCCCGTTGATTCGTTGAGCCCCGACATCTAAGGCTGATTTTAAATTGCAGCTCTCTCACACGTTTCCTCGATTTCTCCTTCCATCGTTGGTTAATGTTGTTTCTTCATCTCCGGCGACGATCTCAGATTCCGCTCGTATTTCCCGCCAGCTGACACTTCTCCCTCACTATTTCTTCCGTGTTATCGTCTTTCATTTCCTTTTCAGCACCACACCACCATGAATCCTGAGTAGTATGTTCAAATTCCTCCCCTCTTCCCGTTTCTGTTTAATTTTTTACCCCGCGATTATCTGAATTACATCTAGTCTTTGTTATTTTTTCAAACTTTTTTTTTCCCTTTTGTTCAGCTCTTACAGATCTATAGTTATCTGTTCGTAAGGGAATTGGAAATTTTACATTTTTATGAATCGATTGTTCATTTATTTATCTCTCTCTTTCTCTGTAAGTTAAATACGCGGATAATCAATTATGTTACGGACGTTTTGGTGGATCCTGTTCTGAAATTTTCTTTCTGCTTTAGATCTGTTTGTTTGGATGATAGATCCGCTACATGCTCAATTGTTTTTGGCCTACTCTGGAAATATGTTTTCTCTGATCTGGTTGATAAGTAAATGCCGCAATGAAATAAATTGTTGGCGTCTGAGTTTGTCGCATCGCAGAAGGGTTGCTTGTCTGTCAAGATAGACCAAGTGTAGAAATAGGTTACTATTATTTAGAAAAACAAGTGAAGTTTTTCTATCAGCAAAAGCAGTAATTGGTTACTGTACTTAGTAAAATTTATCAAGTTTTCTATCACCATAACATGCGTGTTCTAACATCTGGAGCATGATTGTAAATTTTACAAAACTAATGTTGCAAAACGTCAAGAACACTAGCATATTTGGCTATATTCGAAAAACTTTATACAGGACTTACTGGACGCTTTCTTTTTGATTCCTTGGTAAGGACTGATAGTATCATATTTGAAACTAGAAACTATAACAGAGTGATGCATCTGCATTACCTTTGGATCTCTATGCATGTTTTTCCTCGTTTGCTCCAACACGCTCCTGACTGACAGCAATCAAGTGAATTTTACTCAGTGTTTAATATATTTATTTCTCATTCTATCTTCTGACTGATGTCCTATATAAGTAGTAGCCTATATGCAAACCTTTACCCAGTCATTGGTTTTGTTCTGTTGCACATATGTTCTGGTGTTTTATTGATTTTTTCTGCACATCTAATAAATACAGGAATCGGTTGTCTATTCCTATTCTTATAATCCTTGACTAGAGGCATGTTTTATTTTCATGCAGCGACTATTTGTTTAAGCTTTTGCTTATTGGAGATTCTGGTGTCGGCAAATCATGTCTCCTTCTGAGGTTTGCTGTAAGTTCTGAGCTTTTATTACTTTCTTCTTCTTTCTCAAGGCGATGTGCTTCATGTTCAGCATTCTCTGTCTGAAGTTTTATTGCATTTGGGACAGCATTTGCACCTAAACAAACATGCTTTGGGGTGTGGGTGGGCCAAATTATACCCATGTTCAGTCTTTGGTAAGGTTGAAATATAGTGAAGCAATGCAGATGACAAAACAGAGTGTTTATAAATAGGATAAGCGATAGACATGGAATCCCAACTGTTGTACTATTTTGAGTATTTAAATCTGTGGCCAGGTCATTTGTATTGGTGGTCTGTGCTGTGCGTAACAAAATTCTCTCTGTTCTGAACTTTTTTAATGTAAAATTAGATAAAGGTTGCTGATATTTTCTTTCATTGTAAACCAGGATGATTCATACCTTGACAGCTATATTAGTACAATTGGAGTTGACTTTGTAAGAATATATATTTCCTCTTTAAGGTCAAGTTCCAGTTATTAAAATACAACCACGTGACTAATTATTGGCTGTGCTCTCTACTGTAGAAAATTCGAACAGTGGAACAAGATGGGAAGACTATCAAACTTCAAATAGTAAGTACATGATAACTTTAAAGTCAATAAGATGCTAAGATTATTTATGATAGAAAGTTTTTTCCTTCAGTATCTAATCGTTATGTTGAATTGGAAATGTCTGAATTTCTGTTATAAAACTTACTTTCAACCCAAACTTACAACAACAACAACAAGCCTTTATCCCACTAGGTGGCTTCAACCCAAACTTAATGTTTAAAAAATTAGCAATCAACCTCCTGCAATGTTTCTTGGGTTTATTATCTTTTTTTTTTTTTGGTAGCATATCTTCCATTCAACATGATGATATGATGGTTTCCCCGTTCTTGCATGGAAGAAAAAAAGAATCTTGTGCTTGTTCAGTACTACGAGCTTACAAAACCTAGGATAAGTTGATTGTTGTTATTAATCATGTATACATGGCTCATGCTGACAACACCCGTTTCTTTCGATTATATAGTGGGACACAGCTGGTCAAGAGCGTTTCCGTACTATCACTAGCAGCTACTATCGTGGTGCTCATGGCATTATTGTGAGTATTAAACTGGTTGTTTTCCTGCAATTTTCTTCCTGGATTTTGAGACAGTTTTGTGATCCTGTTTGCTTTTTTTTTTTCCCTGCAGGTTGTTTATGATGTCACTGATCAAGAGAGTTTTAACAATGTCAAGCAGTGGTTGAATGAAATTGACCGTTATGCTAGTGAAAATGTTAACAAGCTTCTAGTTGGTAACAAGAGTGATCTCACTGCAAATAAAGTCGTGTCCTACGAGACAGCCAAGGTAACATGTGCATTGATGGCTTTACATCATGCAATTTCAAAACATCTGTTGAATCCTCTAGTCTAGAGGTATGATCCTTGAGCTCCTTTCATCTTTTCAGGCCTTCGCGGATGAAATTGGGATCCCCTTTATGGAAACTAGTGCTAAAAATGCCACCAATGTCGAGCAGGCTTTCATGGCCATGGCTGCAGAAATTAAGAACAGGTATGCATTCATCATTATGTAATACCAGTTAGTCTGTGAGAGAACTTACCAGCTAGTTTCTTAATTTTGTTAACAAGACAAAAAAATGGCCTAATTATTCTGTTAGGCTGATTTTTTTATCGGTGCCTTTCTAAGTCGTTTCTTTAGTAGTTATTATCTATGGGTCTTCTTTCATGTTGACCTTTTGGCCGTCCTTGTTTCTTTCGCACAGAATGGCAAGCCAACCGATGAGCAATGCCAGGCCTCCAACAGTTCAGATTAGAGGACAACCAGTGAACCAGAAGTCTGGTTGCTGCTCAAACTAGAGTTGAAGTATTTGTGGCCTGGACGTTTATATGTGTCTACCTGACATGTAAAACTAGTTTTTTTCTCTCCTCACACAATGCTTAAGGTGGTTAATCTTGATTTGCTTATTTTCGTTGTTAACATATTGTTGAAACTTCCATTCTTTTTTGATGTATTTCATTTCAAAGGAAAACATTTGTACAAAATTAGGAATATTGGTGAATTGCAGTATTTGCCTTGTTCTTTGTCAGATTTACATTGGCCAATATACACTAGGGAGAATAGCAAATAAATCCCTCCAAAGTAGGGAGAGATGGAGAGTATAATTTAATCTCGTAGAATGTGATAGTGCTCTTTGAGTCCTGAATAACCTAATTGTCATTAAAGTTTTTTGATGAAATGACAAAAGTACTCTTTAATTTAAAAAAAAGTGAAGAAAAATAGTGAGAGAGAGAGTTATAAATGCATAAACTATTTTAATCATTTGTTAAATTAAACTTGTGAATTTCAAAATCAATGCTGTGAATGAAAAATTTTTGTTACATTTTGTTGATTAAAGAAAAATAGTAATAGAAAATTGTGGTGGTCTAAACTATTTTAGTCATTTATTGAACTAGAGTTGTGAATGAAAAAAGTTTTGTTACACTTTAGTCATGTGCTGAAATAAAATTGTGAATAAAAAAGATTTTAGTGTATTTTCTTAAATTATGAGATATTTTTGTCATTTCATCATACATTTTAATGACAATCAAGTTCTTTTATATTTAGAAGGCAAAATCACATTTTGTAGGGTCAAATTGTTATTTATATATTTGGGGCGGTTTTATTTGTCATTCTTCCAGTAAACTATACCCGCCATTACACGTATTACACCACGACCTCGGCTTATCTTGAGTCCATAGGCCGGATGTATATTAAACTTCATGCTCACGAAAAAAAAAAAAAAAGGAAACATGCGGACAAAAGATGAGCAAACGCGGAATATGGATATATTTTGCACACATGCCTCTACACCTGACAAAGGGAGAAAGAATCGCGTTAGCTTTAGAAAGATAGAATGCAAGTGAGGCATTCATTATTTGTTTCAGTGAGCTGTGTCCTGCAGGATTAACTCAAATGGCAGCTAGTCAAGTTTTACATCCTGTGATTTTTGAATGGACAATAAATGAGAGGAAAGGGCATTCCTGTGATTTCCTCCCCTAAATGCCCCAGCATCCTCGCTTTTTTTCTTCTTCCTCTACTTGCAATGATATGTTCTTTATGAGTTTGATTTTAAAAAAGTTAAAAAAAATAATAAAAATAAGTTATAAGAGAAAACAACAAATCTCATCTCATTAGATGGAATTGATTATATGAATTGAACGATATCATTATGTTCTATCAATAGTTAAGTTTTTAAAAATATTATTAACTAAAAGATTTCATTTAACAATTTTCATTGATGTTTTCTTTAATTTTTCTCTATCCCTCTTTATATTGTTCAAGAGAATTCGTTCTGCTCTTTTCATTAGTACCTTTCACATCTTTTTTTGTACAAAATAAAATTATATCAAAATTTTTTTTACTATTTTTCTTTCAATAGATGTTGCAATTATTTTTTTTAAAAGCTGCTCATCTCGACATTTTTATTTATGCTATTCTAATTTTACATTCTTATTGCCACTTTAAAGCCCAACGTTCAACACACTGCAGCCTAATGGGGATCCTCGTCAATTATCATCTCTACTCTCCATTAGCTTGTTTTAGTAATTAACAACCAAGCGGACCAAATTAGTTTGGCCCGTGAAATTGAAGTGGGTGACAGGCTGAACGGCGTTTTTGTTAACAGCACATACGTTTGTTGGGCGTTAAAATCTGGCAAGTTGTACACCGAAAACTTATTTAGGCCCAAGTGAATGCTACATGCATTGATAAATAATGATTGCTCGTTTTTGCGGATTCTTTGATTACTTATTTTTATAAAACCTACGTGCATATATATGATGACTTCGCATGATTCAAGCTTGAACACCGAACAGTGCATCCTTGTCAGTGAATCAAAATATTCGACCCCGTCATCAGCTGAACTCTGCGTGCGGAGTTACATAAGTCTGCACTGCCATACCCATTTCAATGCAAAAATTTATTCTTATATACTACGAAAGAATCATATATCTCTGATGATATGAGAATGATCAGCCTGCAGGCTTGTGGGAACTAAAATATAAGCGTGTCTTTGTATGAATTAATATATATACACATGGTGAGAGTGGGGAGGCAGGGGAGGGAGAAAGACTGAAAGAGGATGGCTCTCAAATTAAAGAAGGACAAAGTAAATGAAATGTATATGGCATCATAAAGACTGGGTCAGTTTCTACTTTGCCATGTTCAACACAACAGCTCCTTTAATTTCAGACTTTTAAAATTCAAACTTCAAAAATTCGAGGTAGTTGAAACCTTAGTTTTTGGTCCTCTCGGCAGCAGCTGCCTGTTAATTATAACTTGCACACACTTACGAGGAAGAGAGACTTATTGAAGCTCCTCCTTCTTCTATTAATTTTTATAGGATTTATATATATTCCCCCATGGGTTCTTTCCTCTAAATTGTTAGTTGGCTATGTTAATCTATGTAGGATTTATATATTACACTCCCTCCAGTCTGAGTGTAGTAGCTACGTAATCAATTATATTAAGAAAAAAAAATGCTTACCCGGCCCTCTCCAATCCACATTACAAAACACTCCTAATTATATCACTAGATTTAATGAGAAGTGGTTAAATTATTAACTTTATCTGAAAATATAATAAACTTTCAATTTTACTTGTATTTAAAAAAAATTTAAATTTTTATTACATTCTCTATCATATTTAATGAGTTTAAATATGAATAATGTTGAAAAAAACATAATTAATATCCCACAAAGTAACTTATATTAAGAAATAAAGCAAGAAATCCTTTTAAAATATGTCTTATAACAGGTATAGAAGGGATTATGTCAGTTATTTGTAAAAATACATTCCCTCTGTTTAAAAATGTAAGGTATTTTTTAAAAAGTTGGATGTTAAAAAATGTAAAACATTTTAGTTTTTAAGGTGTAATCAGTGTCTTTTTTTTAAAAGTGCCCTTATTGATTAATGATTTTATATTTATTGTCGGATGTTTAATAAAGATAAATATAAAAAGATAGAATTAGTTTGAAAGTAAGTAACTACTTTATTGAGTGGTGAGATTCGATTAAAAATGTCTTATATTTTTGAATAGAAGGAATATATATTGATAGTTTTCTTTGAATATTTATTTAATTATTTATATTGAAAACTATCCTTATTAATAGAGACACGCACCTTTTAATATATGTGCATTCAATATGGATAGTTTGGGGAAAAAATTATAATTTAGGAGGCAGAATATATAAAATGTTGGATTTATAATGACAAAAAACTTTTAACTAGCTAGCTCCTATATTTGAGACAAGAGAGAGTATGTTGCTAGCATTAAAAAGCGGTGAATTAGAATGGCATGTCTAGGTCCCCAGCCAATATGAATAAAGCTCAACGGATGCTCTTGATTTTGACTGTCAAGCCAAGTGTGAACCATGTTGTGTATTAATATATACAGTATATGCATTAAATATAGATATCGTTGCCAACAAACAACGCGCCTGCTAGCCCTCTTTCTGAGAAATAACTCCGACCATTTTGTACTTGCCCACATACTCAACTCCCATCCGTGAGACTTGAGCATTTAGGTTTTCTCATAATTAAATTGCTCAAATCTCCATAGACCTGTCCAGTTTTCATCTTTTGCTGTAAAATATTAAATATTGAAAAAAAAAAGCACACACAAGGTGTACATGCAAAGCTTTGATCGTATTCACACTTTAAAGTTCGCACAATTAAGAAGGACTTGGTAAACAAGTAGACATGGAGAACGATCTCTGTCTTTCAATATTGACAGTCATGGCTTTTGCCTTGCTTGTATACAACTTCTTAATATTGGACCCTTGATCTTTTAATAACCTGACCAGGCTCCTCTTGGCATTACTCCTGAATGGACTATTCGACGCCATGAACCCATCCACCAGATGCAGGTAAGCCTCCAGGTCATGACAGCACGCCATGTCAGCATCTGGTTTCAGATAAGGTGACATCTTCGTGTCCACACGCAGCTCGACCCCACGTGTGTGTATGCTAATGGCATGTTCTTCTCCAACATGTCCAGAACCCCACCTACCTTGGAGCTCCTCAGCTTCTGCTCCATCTCTTCACTCAGAAACATCCCCGGAACCCTCGTTATCACATCCTGCGAGTTCACTATTCTCAGAACCTTCACGTTTTTCCCTGTAATCCTGTTCCCAAACGCCTTGTTCCCAACCCTGGGCCCTCCGAACGAGAATGCAGCCACTGGTGGGACCTCGTCATGGATGGTGCTTATGTCATCGGCCACCAGCAAGGCCAGTGCCGCACCCAGACTGTGTCCTGTTACAGTTATGCTGAGATCTTCTCCTTCGTACATTTCCATGAGTCTATTTACTTCTGCCTTCACCGACTCTGCTAAGCTGGGCACGTGGGTCCCTCTGGTTCTGTACAGGCTCTGGAACCCACACTCCACTTTGGGTTTACCTTCGTCTTGTGATGACGAATCGTCCATGTCGCTCAACTGGGCCCTCATGTTCTCGGCCCACTCGAGACACGTCGCCGTGCCCCTCAGGGATATCACGATGTCTCTCCGTCCCATCCTCGCTATCTCTCTCCGGTCATCGCAAACGGCGACGTACCCAATCCAGCTTGATCTCTGGCTCATCCATCCGAGATCCGGAGCGACGTCGTCTACCCATTTGGGCAGCCCAACAGAGGACGTGGCGTAGAGGCTCTTCGTCACCCGATACGACCTATCGGGAAGGACCACGTGGCGTGGCATCGGGGGCTCCTCCTCTGACATGGCCGGGTTGGAGTAAAAGGAATGGTAGGCGGCTTGGACGAACTCACCGTATCTGACCACCTCTCGCCGGAGATTCTCATCGAGAGGGTCCAGCATGCCCTTCCAATCGTCGCAACCGTGATACTCCCTCCATCTGCTGCCCAGAACGTTCCTCGGCGAACGTTCCTGCGTCATGGACAGCAAGCGCTGCAAGCGGTTGAGATGTCGGGGTGACATTTCCTCTGTAGCTTTCATTTCCGGCCACACCTTCGTTAAGTTCAGTCCTTCAAGTATGGTCTTTGCCTTCTTTTCATTGGCGGGTTGTTTATGGATCTCAGTAAATGGTTGTGGTAGTGGTTGCGGGGGATTTGGAGGTTGCTTCGTCTGGAGGAGCTTGTCGAGGTTAGCGAGGTGGAGCCTAGTCGATTCCGTGGAGGTCACCAGTTTGAGAGTGTCGGTGGACGGTGGTGCGGCCATCACGGAGGGGTTGAGGGTAGAGGTTTGGCACAGCTTGAAGCTAGCGCGTCTTGCCTGAAACATCTGCAGGCTTCGGGCTGGTACGCTGGAGTTGATCTGCATCATCATCGTGCTTCAATTGTAGGAACAAGGGTCGGCAGCCGAAGAAGAATGGCAAGGGTGAAGACAAGCTCTCTCAAATCCAAGAGGATGGATGCCAGAGTCTCTATATATATATACAGTCGGCATCTCTGATTTGCCCTCGCGTCTCGCCTATAATTACCACTGTAGCCACGCATTAATATAAAATACTGGCTAATATTGGAAAAGAAGACCTGATGCGGACGGTGTCCGCTTGTGCGTACAAGAATTTGAGAAATTCAGAGAGAGAAAAGTATGAGAAGGGCCACACTATATCACGCGCTCAGTTTCGGACGATGCTCATCACCTGATGAGCTTATCAATTTTATTTTATATTTTATTATATATTTATTAAAACATAAAATATAAAATTTTAATAAATATATTTTATTATCAACCTAAACAATATAAATTTAATCTGAATAATTTAATTTAATATTAATTAAAAAATATAAATTAACTATTTAAATGTTACTCTAAATTCAATCTGTCCAAAGTTCATATAAATAGTTAATTTATAAAATTTTAAAAAGATAATATTAAATTAGACCAATTAGATTAAATTATATGGTTTAGATTGATAATGAAACAAATTTATTAAAATTTTATATTTTTTTACAATAAAAATGAAAAATAAAGTCTATAAAATCTGGAACGGATCCCTATATGACTCGGTTTTGAAGCTAAACTGACTGAATTAGCCCTCAGCCCTTTTTCATTGTCAACGTATCGCTGTAATTCTCGTACAGATTCTTATTGTTTTTAATGCTGGTGTTGATCACAAAGCAGCTTCTTGGTGTATTTAAATTCATGAGAGGCAGTTACCCTTGCAATATGTTTGGCGTGTTTGGATAAGTTAGACGGTGTACACATATGCGTGTGGACAAATTTCAAAATGTTTGATTTTTGGAGTCAAACACAGTGTCGCTGCTCTCCAAACTAATGGGATCAAACCTCCATAAAAGTTAAACTGTTAAAGTTGCTGTGTTATTTTGCCCGATTGGTTTTGAGGCCTTGTTGCACCATGTAATCTGATATTGTGAAATCAAAGGTTTTGGCTTTTTTTTCAGAACTTTGAATATTGAACGTGTAAAATTGGAGCGATTCAAGTCAAATACTTGAGCCTCAGGCCATGCCTCCAAAATTCTTTATGATAGACTAAGGAACTTTTAATCTTAATCTGGTGATCTTTGGCATAAAATACGCCCCGTTGTCCACTGAGGTCAGGGATTACAACCACACACTCTCTTATGACGTAGTGTTATCCTTGAATTTACAAACAATTGTTTATATATTAAGGTTAATACGTTTCCTTCCAAATTAAAACTTACTAAACATCAAAAATTACATTTCCCATGTTCTTCTCGGAAAAACCAGCATTGCGTGTTTTCTGGTGGCAGAAATAAAATTTAATAAATAATCAAACAGCATTAACTATTTCTCTTGAATTATAAGTGCGTGATTCTTTTGGACCTTAATTAATTAATATCAAAAAATTTCACAGGGAACATTCGATAAGGATTTATACTCGCAGCGTGAGTGTACATATCGAACAATTATATTTGAGAGCGCACGCCTAGCGCAAGGATAATGTGAATACCGTTTCATTATTAGTATTATATTGCGCAGCAATCACCTTAGAAAAAAAGAAGAAGATATTTAATTAAAAAAATGATTAACTATAGGTTATCAGGGGCCAAACTGGGATTTGTATTAGTGAGGCAAAATTAGAATAACAAGTACTTGAATGAAGGTGAAAAAAGGTAAGCAGGTAATTAAAGGCGTTAGATGATTAGTGAGGCAAAATTAGAATAACGAGTACTTGTATGAGGCTTGACGTGCCGCTCCGCCAAAGGATAATGGATTGGATTAAAATTTTTTCGACTCATTTAAAGGAAATCAATATAATCTATGTCACTTAACTCCACGAAAAGTATGTTAACCCACCCAACTCATGGGTTGACTCTTTTTTTTATTTTCCTCACAAGTTTTTTTACTTTAATTCTAATAAGAATATAAGTTATTGACTTGTATTCAGCCTGCCTGACTCGTGCGTTAAACCTTCTTTTTTTAAATTTCTTACAGGTTTTATCTTGTTTTGCATTTATTTTAATTGTAACCTATATTTTATAGTAGAAAAACTTGATTCCCTCTTTGATTTTTGATTTTTTTATATTTATAAAATAATTGTGAGAAATAGATTACATGTCTATATTTGAAGGTTTGGAGATTAATTTCACCATATAATTTCGTGTGAATATAAAAACAACTTCAATACATTGGGTTGAAATTTTTTGAACTCATCGAGAGGGGAGTTGATTTAGCCTGCCACGCCCAATCTACTAGTTCACCTTTCTTTCTAGCTAAAATAAAAAAAAAAATTTACAAAAAGGGGTGGTAGGACAATTAGGTAGATCAAGTGAAGAATTTAAAGTTGAAAGCCAATGGAGAGATTCGAGACGCAAGAGAGTAAGACTTTAGTGAATTAAAAAAAAAGGGGTGTAGCAATACGTGTTGAACCTCAACAAAAGAAGCATGTGATGGATTTGGAGTCCCTCTCATGTCCCAGCGCACCAGCAAAAAAGGGTCCTATAATGCGATTGGTGGGGCTCCCCCGTTATTTTACTCTTCATGTCCCACACGGCCACACTCTGTTCTGTTTTATTCCCTTTTCCAGCCCCACTGCTATATTGCTTTTCCATTCCTTATTATTTTAATTTCATGCAATTATCTCATATTCAATAGTTAGAGCAGGCAAAATTGGCCAAGCTTGTTTGAGCTCTAAACTAACTAGGGTCAGGCAGCTGAATTAGAAGGTGAAAATGAAGTTTGAACTTAAAAGAACTAGTCCCAATAGAATCTAGAAATAAAAAAGCCAGCCCTTTATGTCTTATTATTTTTCTTTTAAAAAAATTCAGGTAAAAAAATATAAAATAAGAAAAACACATCAACTGCTTTACATACTTCTAGTGTCTCATCAGCAACAACGGCCACTTTTGATAATGCGTAAATATTTTGTTAATTAAGTTTGTTATTTTTTAATCTTTTTTTACTTTATTTTTATTTAAGTTATATTTCTTTAATGCTTTGCAAATCATAGTGCAAGATTATCAAGATATTTATACTAGTATAGATAATTTTTTTATGGACAAGTTTAAACTAGAGAATTATTTGAGTAAATCAATAATATTCTCATAGTTAGAAAAAAATTAGATATTGAATTGGTGAAGGAACAATTAACATTGGTTCCCAATTATTTTGAAGATAATTGTTAATATTCTTAGCATTTCAATTACTGATATGGCTAGTGAATCAGTTTTAATTTATTATTGATTCACATATTTTAACAAAATATCAAAGTCTCTCTTTTTTCAAATAATGTTAAGACTATCGTTTATATTTATAATTGGTTGCACAGTTTTGATAATGTTACTATGACATGTTGGATTTAAATGTTTAAATTTGTAGATTTGTTGTGGATTTACTTAAATTTATTTTTAAATTTAATTTTACATTGAATGGCTTTCTTGGAATTATAAACGTGTTTATTTTTTAAAATGGGAGTATTTTCTCGCTTTTCGGACCCAACCCTTCAAAGATGAGTTCAAATTGCCAGCTTAATTGGAGGTTGATTATAGTCAGCAAGTTTAATTAGGGTGATTCTCCCCAAATAAGTTTATCGTTATCAACATCATAATCACTATCCTGCAGTCCACTTTACACCACCTTACAGTAACTACCGTGCGTCTAATTACTTGCATTGTTTCCTTCTTCGGCTGCATTGTTTTTAAACTAATTATTAATCTGGTGGAAATTATTTAACCTGTATAAATTGCTTCTAAATTATAAAGTTGTGGTTCACGTGCTCTCAAAATCCCTGGCGCCCGAGACCATCACGTCTCTGCATATCATAATATTTAACATTCTTCATGCCAAAAGTGTGCGGCCGAAAACCTAGAAAAATTACCCCCCAAAATATATATATATATATATATATATATAAAGTTTCATGAACCCTAAATTCCTTTTCTTTTTCCATCCTCTGTTCTTCTTCATATACCTTCTTCGAAGTTCTATGATGTTCTACACTACACTCCACTGATCATTTCATTGTCATAAAGGGAGAACGTGTTAATTCATGTATATTTTTATACAATATAGAGAAAATGAATTTTGTGTCAAAACATGGATATAAATAGAATTCCTCTCAATATATTATCTGCTTTCATTAAAAGGAGGGAAATTGGTTGTACAAGAAATTACCACCTCCATTGGAAATATAGAGCATTTTTCAGAAAATATCATGTTTCAGTGTTTAAGACATTTTACAAAATTTCAAGTGTGATTAATAGTTTTTAACTGAAATTGTGAATATATTAAAATTACTAGTCTTAAGACTGTCTTATAATGTGTTACGGGGTCAACATATTCTCACACTGCTATAATACAAATGTACATGCTTTGATATATTGTCAAACCGTAGCGGAGAATTTTTTTAAAAAATTTTAATTTTTAATTTAATTTAAAATTAATTTTTTTTAAAATAATATAATTACATTATAAATAAAATTATAATAATATAAGTAGATTAATCATCATTTTTAAAAAATATATATTAAATAGGTTGATATAATCTTTTATGTAAAATATATTCTTCATATCTTATATTTATTACTAAAATATTACATAATAAGTTTTTGAGACCAAATATTTTTATTTAGTTTAGAGAGTGCAAAATCTCAAAAATAAGAGGTGCAAAGTTGAAAAAATTACATATATAACTTGTAATTTTTTTTTTTAAATGAGGGGATGCATTTGCCTCCTCACTAATGAATAGCTCCACCACTGTTGTCAAGCATCGCTTTTCAACATACATGATAAATTTACCAATTTTTCATTGCAAGAAAATAAAATTGGATGAAAAGAATTGTATCCTGTGATTATCTCATGTTCTTTAATTAAATAACGATTTGAATTTTGCATGTATAAGTTGACATCTCTCTAGCCCTTAATATAATGTGATGTTTGAAAGATTATTTTGATTTTTAATAAAAGACAAGATTAAGATATTTTTTTAAAAAAATTGTATTCCCTATTTATTTATTATCGTTTAAATTTTCAAATGACAGTTTATTATGGTTATTAGCCGTAAAGAAAGGTAAGATTGGAGTGATGCGTTTTTTTTTTTCTC